GCCTCCACCCCCTCCTGCAGCAATGAACTCCACAAGTTGACTACCCCTTGCATAAAAAAAAGTACTTTCTCTTGTTAGTTTTAAATCTACTCGTTTCAGGGGGTGCCCCTAGTTCTAGTGTCCTGGGACTCGGTGAACAGCAGTTCCCAGTTCCCTTGGTCCACACCCTTCATGGCTTTATAGACCTCTGTCCTATCTACCCTCAGCCTTCTCTTTTCCCAACTAGTCCTAGCCTTTTCATTCTCCCCTGGTCTGGCAACTGCTTCAGCCCCCTGATCATTTTGGTTTCCCTTCTTTGGACCTTTTTCTAATTCTACTACATCCTTTTTGATACGTGGAACTGCACACAGTATTCAAGGTGTGGGTGCACCAAGGCCCAGGGGCTGAGGCAGGGAGGGAGGGACCATGGTGTTAGGCTGCTGTCAGCTCTGGCACTGACCACCCTGTCTCGCTGCCCAGGTCCTACACCTTCCTGCATTCAAACTCAGCTGAGGCGGTGGCAATGGGTCTGCTGAAGCAGTTTGAAGGCATGCAGCTCCCAGCCGCATCCGAGCTTGAGTGGTTGGTCCCGGAGCACGATGCTCCTCAGAAGGTGAGCCTGGCAGCTGGGTGGTGATGCTGATGTGCTGTCTGGGAGTGCTGGGGGTGTGTGGTTGGGGGAAAGGCATGAAGGGCAGAGAAACCCACTGCTCGAGTCATCAAGCTGCCTTGAGGGAGAGGAAGGCATTGTGTTTGTCCTGGGGACACTACCTGGTGTAGGACCCTATGTGCAGCTGGCTCTGGAACTGCCTTGCAGGTGCGTGGAGCTGCGTTGGCTCCGTTGACCTCGCACACTAATGGGGCTGGGGGCAGGATGAAGGATTGGCATCTGGAGATGGTGCGAGCTCCCCGGCCTTACAGGCTGTTTGCTGTGAAAAAGCTCCTTGGGCGTCCCCGGTAATATAAGCGAAGGCAGCTTTCCAAAAAGCTGCTGCTTGTATGTGTAGAGGGTAGAGTGTGCCCCAGTGTGTGCATGGCATGAGCCACCGTGTGCAGTAACCGCCCACGCCGCCTGCTCGAGAAGACATGGACTTTCCAGCCAGCTAGGGCAGTCCCTGTGGTAGTGGGGGTGGCTGGGACGCCAGCATGGGCTGGTGGGATGCCAGCTGCTCTGCACAGCCCCTCCATCCTGCCCCATAGCTGTACCCACCCCAGCTCTGCTGGAGCCCCCCTTGGTCCCAGCCCCCTCTTGTCATAAATTTTGTCTCTGACCCTCAGTCCCAACCTGCAGCTCCTGGTGCCCCAGTCCCAGCCTGTTACGCTGTCTCGCAGGGACTGCTGGGCCTGTCTGAAGGGTGGCACTGCAGCTGCCTTCCAATCCTGTGAAGCACTGTATACAGGGGGAGGCTCCTGGCTCCACGGTGCAGCAGCGTGGCTCTCAGCAGGATGGGTGTGATGAGTCCAGGCCTCGACTTGTTCCCGATGCCTGAAGGCCCGTGCCAAGTGCATGCTCCGGCAGGGCTTCTCAGGACAGCAGTGCATTGTGGACTTGATGTTTTCCTACTAACATGTAAAACAAATTGCCTGCAGCCACGGGCCCAACCTCCTAGCATGAGCCAGCCCCCGGGAGGTCAGTGGGTTTTACCACCACCTGCCTGGTGTCTTCTAACCCTGGGGCATCCCTGTGCCATGTGCTGTTTCCCCTGCCCTGTTTGAAGGCTCTGGCATTTAACCCTCTTGGCCTGGGGGCTGAGATGCAACAGAGCTGCTGGGAATGCACATTCAGAGACTGCAAAGCTCCAGGCACACACTCTTCCCCAAAGAGGGGTCTTGGGAGAGACAAACCGATGCTGGTGAGGGTGCTCCTGAGATTGGTAGGATGGAGGAGAGCTGCAGTAGACCCCAGCAGCATGGGGGCTCAGCTCAGCCCAGCTCAGCTCTGCAGTTGCCAGGGTTAACCAGAGCTCCTCATCACCACATGTGCCGGAGGGTGATATCCTGGTTTTAAACTACCATGAAGGGGCAGCCACCCATTATTCATGCACTGGGTGCTGGAACATGCATATTAAATGATTTGTGATTATTGGGATGGCCCACCCAGTGCATATGCTGAAGGAAACATACCCTGTCTGATAATGTCTCCAGCAAGGAGACACAGCCAAGAGCCACGTGCAACTTGGGAGCCGTGGTCTGAGTTACAGCTGCATGGGCCAGAGCAGGGCAGAGCCCCAGCAGCTCTGCTCCAGGCTGGCTGATGGGGTCATCCAGCTGCTGACGGGGACCACAGCCCTGGTGAGAGGCTGAGGCAGCCTGCATAGTGCTGAGCTGCGCTTGGTCCCACAAGGCCCAGACAATGTCCAGTGTGCTGAGCCAGGCCATCCCTCCTCCTGTGTCCTGTCCTGGTGTCTCCACCCAGGCACAGGCTGGTAGCCCCTCTTCAGCAGCTGTATCAGTGCAGCCTGGAGGCACCAGGCTAGTGAGGTCAGCAGCAGGCAGCATCTGTGGACAGGCCTGGGTGGCTGTTGGTGGGTGGCAGAAGCTGCCTGTGGTTCACTGAGCCAACAGGTGAAGGAGCTCTGCTCTGCCACCTCCAGGGAGCCAGCAGTGTGGACTCCCCTACACCCTGGTCCTGCTGAGCAAAGTGTCTGGGGCAGACCAAGCTGGGACCCTCTGGAAGTGACTTGCAGGCCTTCAGGTGTGCTGGGATCTGCTTGGCTTCCAGACCCTGCCCCTCTTGATGCAGGCAGAGATGCAAGCTCGGGAGACACCCGGGGCTGGGGCAAAGTGGTGTCTGATGGTCTCCCCTCTGTCTCTCCTCCAGCTCCTGCCCATCCCGGACTCACTGCCCATCTCTCCCGATGATGGAGAGCACGCTGACATCTACAAGCTGCGAATTCGGGTCCGTGGGAACCTGGAGTGGGCACCTCCCCGGCCCCAAATCATCTTCAACGTCCACCCTGCCCCAACGTAAGGACCTATGCTGGGACCAGCCCTTTGTCTGCCCTTTCCCACTGCTTGGGGGGCCCCTCACTGCCCAGATGGGTCCACAGTGCTCCCAGCTCCTGCTTCAGACCTTCTGGACTCTGCCTCCTTCATCCCTCTGGAGGTTTCTGCTCCAGGAGAGGACACCTTTGTCTCACTGCAGGGCTCTGATACTGGCCCCAGATTGCGATTTGCTCCCCTCCATTCCCTGCCCCACCTTGGCCTTAGCTCTAACTTCTCTGCCCGGCTGGCTTGCTTTCGATGTGGTGCCTTCCCTTTGCCACCTGTCCATGCCAGTCCGGCAGTGCGTTCAATGCCACGGGACCAGTAGGAGGGGGGACTGGGCTGTACAGGCTCCATGAGCACAGACTGGGCTGCACAGATGTGAGGCCCTCGATGGCACCGGTCTCACCACACTCCTTGTCTCTGCAGGAGGAAGGTGGCCGTGGCGAAGCAGAATTACCGGTGCGCTGGCTGCGGCATCCGGACAGACCCCGGTGAGTGCCGCAGCCTTGTCCTCTCCCGGAGGGAGACAGGAAGGGCTGCTGTGGGGGGAGGTGGCAGTGCAGTGGAGGATGCAGGGAGGCTGAGGTCCATGGCAGTGTTCAGAGGGGAATTAGGAAGCTGCTGTCACTTTGCTCAGGGGCACATTTCTTGGGTCCCTGCCTGGCTGTGCCCCAGCTGGTGCCTAAGGAAGAGTCCCCCCCGTGGCAGTAGTGGGCAGGGGGGCGTTGCAGACAGGAACGGCTCTGGATGCATTTCAGCCCTGGGGCTCAGAAGCAAAGCCTAAAGTCCAGTTGTTATGTGTGGGTTGGGGAGAAGAGCCTTTGCTCACTGCAGTTTGCCCCCAGCTCTCTGGACCCCACAATGTTCAGCCGTGGAACCAGCATGGCTGTGTCCTTGGATTCAGGTGATGGTTCTTGGGTATCAGTCGCTTTCCAGGATCTGCAGGATTTCTGGCGGGATGGGAAGGGCCCCAGGCAGGCAGGTGCATTGATGCTGGGCATGTGGCTCACAGAGGACTGGAACCCTTTGCTTCTCCCAGCTGTAGGGATAGGGTGGGAAGCTGCAGGTGCTCCAGGCATAGGCAAGTCCTGGCCTCCAGGGGTGAAAACAGATGGCAGGAGACTGCTGTGCTCCATGCTTTTGTGTGGGGCTGTGGCAGGCCTCTCTCTGCGGGGACCAAGTGGTTCTCTCCTTGCAAGCTCTGCTCAGGATGATCAGGATTAAAGGCAGCCTCAGGCTCTGTCCTGAGCTGGGTCCCACTGCAGCTGATCCTTT